AACTTTTGTGCTGCATGTGATGATGAAACCTGTGTGCATCTACTAGAAACAAGGTATGTAGCTAGTGAGAAAGGCAAGGGAAAAGATGGATTTGAGGACATGCAAGTTTAAATATATTACACCATGGTCTCTTTCAGTATGTTGTAGCATTACAAAAACCATTTATTCCCTCATCCGGCATTCCATGGGCACAAGTACTCACCTTTGTTTAATGACAACATTCAAGCTCACTCCTCAGCTTCCTTTCTTCAAGACCAACTCCTCTTCCCTTTCCAGTGTCTTTCTTCTCTCTTGTCTAATCCCTTTTTATAGAACAGACAGACAGTCTGACGGGCCTGGAGTTGGGGGGAAGCACTCCTACTTAAAGAAAGCGCCCGGGCAAATTTGGGGCTGGTGGTAATTATTTGGGCCTCATTATGGGATCACGTTTCCCCAAGTCATTCTCTGTGGTAACCGTTACTGGATATGGGGCTGACACTGTCAATAAAGCGGGGGGAAAGATGACACGCCTTTTGTTTTGACAGGACCAAAGCAGTAATGCCTCCTGTTCGTTTGCATTTGCAAAGAGAGAAGAGGCAAGGGCCTCAGAGCCTACTTTTCCAGATGCTCTGACAGAGTAAGACCCTCTGCCCTGCTCCCCTGGCACCGTGCAAACCCGGCGTCACTCTCATATCAGCCTTTCATGTAAATCTACTTAGTGTAGGGTCATGAGATACAAGGCTGTTTGATTGAGGAGTGTGTATCTGTGTCATCTATGGCGCTGAGAGCTGGACCACAGTTTGTCTGCAGAAGCCAGAGCTGCTTGATTGTTGGTCCAAGGACGGATATGACATTTGAGAAAAGGCTCAGTGCCTTGGCTTTTAGCACCCCCCTGAAGTAACCGCTGAGATTTAGGCACACACGCCTGCACCCAGAGTTGAGTTACTCACTCTCACTCACTCTCACCAGTAGATCAGCAGACACACATTCACACACACATATGTTCACATGCAAGCACTTGCTCAGGTGCCTCTAGCAACAATACATAGCTGTGCTCTCATTCATTAACCCATGCTCGTACACAGGGATCCGCGGTAAGTATTGCCCAGTAACCCGGAGAACCACATTCAGATCACTTTCGACTTCTACACTTTCGACTTCTAAAGCTTTGATTTACACCTTCAGAGGCAGATGGTAGAACCTGGATAAAACTATTTCAGGTCCATCAATCAGACATTTAGTGTGCAATACTAACTTTTAATTCTAATAACACCGGATAATTGTTATGCAAATACAATACTGAATGTTACTTTGACCAGATACATAAAATATGGGAGGCATTCTGTGAACCTTGGCAACCAAAATCTGAAGTCTTGTTGCCAGCCAGATCTCAATTTCTAAACTTAATGCTGGGCCCTTTGCCCCTGTATGCTTGTATGCAAGTGTGCGTGTGTGTGTGTCCCTGCATTTGGCAGGGTTGATTCTTCCTGATATGCACTAACCTGGCAGGATTTCCAGGCCTCAGGGCAGGGCTCCATTGAAGAAGCCTTTTGCCTTCCTCGCTCTCAGTCTTGATTTAGGCTGTATGATAGAATCATTTACTCATAGGGGTTTTTTTCATCTCGTGCTAAACCAATCTGCTTCAATTTAGTAATTTTACATGTAGCATTTCATCCAGTAGCTCTTGAGGAGCCCCATGACCTGAGCAGCTGGTAATTGAGTGGTGGAGCTTGGTGAGAGGTGCAGGCTCATTTTGCTTCCCCCGTCTAACACACACTGACATAACTGCCGCCTGGGCCCGGTTCCCTGCTGGCAGCAGATGAACTAGAAAGCTCTCTTGCTGATTATTGGCAGATGAAAAAAGAAGATCCGCAGGGCTAAGCGAGGGGAAAAAAATATTATTGACTTCTCACCGCAGCTACTATTTATTCTCCCCTTTTTCTGTCCATGTATTTGTTTTTGAGGCTGTTAGATTCCTGCCTTGGAATATTTTTGGGGTAGTCTTTGATTGAGCTGGAAAGGAATGCCTTTAATCGTGGCTACAAAGGAACCGAGGGACATGTCCCCGTCAGTTTTGCAACAGATCTAGACAGATGAGGAGGAGGAGGCGGAACGGAGGAGTGAGCATTGTTAACAGTCTGTGGGGAACTGTTTGCGTGCCCTGTGGTTTCTAGTCCCTGTGAAATGGAGACTCACTGATTTGGTTTCCCAGGCCCCTTCTTCTCAGGGCCATACAAAAACCAAATGAAGACGTTTCAGTCTGTCCTGGTAGCCATTTATAGTCTAGCGGCAGCATGTTTCTAAGTGGTAGATGGCACCAATGGTGGCACATGGAGAGTGTTCGCAGCCATCTGATTTTAAGTGGTGTGGGTATAGCTAAAATAGAAGATAATGCTTAGTCTTGTCAACGGCGCAATAGACACTGTGACCATCGAGGTGGTTGCCCTCAGAGCTTCCAAGAGCCAGAGGAAACTAAAACCAGCCGCTCCTTCTGAGCCCGTTTGGCTCAGCTTTGGGATTATTATCTGCTTTATTAGGTATGATTGCACAACCCCATGCATCAACATGTTTCATACAGCAAGATCCAAACATGACCAAGTAACCCTAAAGATTCAAAAAAGCCTTTCACAGTAAAACCTGATTCTTCTTACCGAATGTAGCTGTTTTTCAACTCTGCGATTTCCCACAAACCTATAGCAAAAAAGAGCGGAGGTCATGGCGTCAGTGAAGTAGTGTCATTAAAGGATTTTCTTTTATTTTCTTTCTTTTTCTTTGTTAAGGGCCAAGTTCAACTGTAGGCCTCTAATTTGGGCCTAGTAAATGTGGACTGGTAGAGGCAGCTGGCAGTGCAGCATGCAGGCCGGGCCCAGGGGTTCATGCTGTCTTGCTGCTTGCCTGAATGGCGACTGCCATTCTAGGTCTGAAAACATTATGCAGGGCAGAATAAGTCAAGATTGTTAATTTTCTCATTCGCCTTCAACTCTAACTAGAGAGAGGAGTTTCGGAATTTTTTTCCAGGGTGAGGGAGTCACCCTGTCTTTAATACTCAATAGCAGCGGTTCCCGACCTTCTTTTGTCAGATGAAGTGCCCCGTACCTGATACCACCCGTCATGTTCCAAACATGTTCATTTGAATTGATTTAAAACTGGATGTTACAGTATTTAACACTATCGATCGTGTAAAAATGGAAAGTGTAAATGAATATCATCATCATTAGTGTTGCTGTTACTTGTGCCATAGTAGATATATTAATTATTTGTGGTGTGAATCCACTGCACTGTACTGTCACTGTACAGGAGGTGTTTCCTTCTTACCTACTGTACATTATCTTTTACCCATGTACCCCTCCCTGAGTGTCCCCCCAAGTCTGCTTCTTTCTCCTCTCCTCACTCTCTCCCTCTGACGGACATGCACCAGCCCTTTGCAGTCCATTACGTCAATTCCCCTGGATCAGGGTGCCAGCTGTTGATGTCACCCTTGGGTCTTTTTAATTTAGGGATTTCCGCTGGGTGAGATGAGGGGGAGCCCCATGACCTCAGCCCACAGCCACATGAAGAGGCCCACCGGGGCAGAACCAGGCCGGGATGTGTCTATACAGGGCAGGGCAGAACAGGGTGGGACCGCTCCGCCGGGGTGTGGATGAGCGTAGGGACTGGGCGATGCAGGATGTTCTGTGAGCTGTAACAAGGGCTGATCCAGGAGCCCTGCGTTGGTGCCCTCTTTGCTGTCATGTGAGCAAATTAGGGATACGTGGGGGTGTTTTAGGAGCGGTTTGCTCCCTCCTGGATTGCCGTGCAAGTCCTTGTACCCGTGACAGCATGTCTGTGACTTGCAAACACTGCTGCGATCCCTTGAGCTCTTAAATGCAGCCTTTCAGCAGCTACGAATTTCCTCCCTTTCAGAGGGGATCAAATGTTCCTACCGAAGAATATCTCCCGTTGTTTCAGTCCTCAAGGCTTTGAGTGGGAGTGAACCTCGCCATCCATGTAATTGATTTTGTAGGGTGCCAAAGTTTTTCCTCTTGATATCAACTGGGTACGGTTTAGAAAGGAAACTCCTTAATTTAACACATAAAAGCTTCCATCAAGAGCAACTGTCTTTCTCTAATGGTGTGAAAACCAGCTTTAGTGCATCTGTCTAGATTGTATTTTAAAAGCTTATTTTTTCCCTCTTGTTTTCAGTCCAATCTTGATATCCATGAGGTCACGTAGTGTAGGTTACATGTTGTGTTTTTGGACAAATCTATGGAATAAACTGTATTTACAAAAGTGTTGAACAAACAGATACCAGTATTAGCTGCCTAGTGAAAGACGTAGTTTTTTCCCCTGCCTTCACCTCCCATCAGGAAGATAAATATCTTTATTCTTTACTACAATTATTGTTTTAAAAATGATCTTTTGATCTACACCAATCATAAAGCTGAACCTAAGAAAGAAATGTAAAGCCTCTGTAACAGTGCAGACAAGAAGTGCCCACCAAAGTGTAATATGTCAAATATTTCTGTTGATTGTGAGATTATTAATGGACATATGTCTAGATGTATGTGCAATTAATATTTCCACAGTACAGTGATGTTTCACACCTGGTTGAACTTTTGCTGGTTCTTTTTGCTCTGGAGCTGGCCATCTATGACCATTAGTGTGGTCAGCTGATTTAGTTTGCAATCATATGAAAAGAGGGGAAAAGGGAAGTTTTGTGTTGTCACATTTTCAAGTGACACAGTTTGACTTTAGACTTTTACGGTACGATATGATATGACATATTTTATTGTCCCCATGAAATTCGTTCTGGGCTCAGTGATGCTGCATACATTAAAAAAATATAAAACACCTAAAACTCCAGTGCAGTGAACAGTGCAATACACACACTATATATATTCAATCTCCCGACCAGTAAAAATATCCCACCAGAAATACGCATTGTTTTTAAATTTCAGATTTTTTTACCTGTTAACTTTCCTAATTCCCTTTCCTTGTATGAGATGATAACCTCTTTCTCTCTGTGTGTGATTTTTTTGCAGTATCACCCCCTGTCTCTGTGCAACACAAGTGAGGATGAGCGACAAGAGAGTGATTTTATCACCATTGTCAAACTGGAGCACAGGGTACCCCGCTGTCTGCCGCTTCTCGATAAGGTACAGATCTCACACACACACACACACACACACACACACACACACACACACACACACACACACACACACGTTGAATATGCTTCATGCATTTTTCCTAGTTGAACCTTCCGAGAAACTCCCCTCTCTGTGACCCCTTCCCCTCTCTGACATTGCAGCAGACAGATAAACCATTTTGCCATCTTGTCTTCTCTCCAGTACCTCTTCCTCTCTTGGATTTAGACTTTAAAGAGAATATGTTTTTAGAGGGAATAATTTGGCAGGAGCTTAATGTTTTGTTCAGGACGGTGATCATTCACAGTGAGGGCTCGGACAGGAGGGGGTGGGCTTAGCTCAGCGCTGCTATGTAGCAAGTGGCAGTGAGCCCTGGCTTTGGATGTAAGGCTTTCAAGCTCCAGCTGTCACTGGTCCGATCCCAGCCAGCCAGAACCAGACACTCCGTGTTCTCCATTTCTGCTTCCCTCTAATATGAACGCAGCCAGAGCTCCATAGATTCCACCCACAATGGTTTAGATGTATGTGCAATGGAGTTGACCTAAATCTCCCTTGTGTTTAAGTATTCTACCATACACACTGGCTGGCATATCCTAACTTTAAAGTAGTGTGATTTAAAACTGTTGCTATTTTTTCCTTGTTTTTCAAGTGGTGACAAATTAGCAGGCAGGAGTATAGTTAGGCGACTGCCTTTTTTTAGCCTGTGTTTTCTTTTCCCCTAATTTAAAGCCATGTTTAGGAGCTGCCCGCCGTGGCGACGATGTAGAGACATTCCCACACTTCCCCGCTCCTTTCTTCCTCCTCCTGTTGCTCCTTCAGTGGGAACCAAACCAAGCGGGCCAAAGGGGGGAAGAGGGGTGTCACTCAAGGCTGACTCCAGAAAACAGTTTTGATTAAAGCCTTAATGGCAACACTATGTTGTCCCATAAACAAAACACGGGCGCTCCCTCATGCAAAAGTACCCTTGAACAAAAGGCTGTTGCTTCCGAGTGCTTTCCCCCTCTCTGCAGATCGCCTTTGAAATCAGGAGAAGTGAAGGAGGGAGGGGTCTTTCTTGTTGTTTTGGTCATCTGGAAAGTATGTGTTGCAATAAACTCCACTCCAGCCACCTGCATCCTTGCTTCCTTAGTGAGATTCAAAGCTTTTGGTCGTGGTGGATTTATTGGGGATTCATCATGCAGCTGTTGAGGAGTTTGCTCTCGGCCTTTTGAAGAGGATGAATAAGAAGGTTTGGGATGTGTGGTGCTGGGTCAGCCGTGGTCTCTGAATGGGACTTGTTTACAGTTTAGTCTGACTGTAACCCGTCCCAGTGATCTATAGATACTCCAACGGCCACAGAGGGTTCGTGTTGCACCACACACACTCAGAATAGACTGCAAACCAAACAAAGTGAAGCTCAAAACCTTGAAGGATAAAGTTTCATTGTTGTACTTTGTTTTTATTTTGGTTTTCAGAGGCTCCTATCCTCAGCGACATCATGAACAAGGGAGATTCCTTTACTGATTTGCAGTGATTTGTACTGTCTCTATGCTGTGTCTCTATAATGCTCTTAATTTTAAATGGATCCCATAGTAGCTCATAACAGATTAGAAATGTAATCTTCTAGGATGTCTATACTGCACTTTACACTACATTATATACATTATTTTGACACTGCAGCACATCTTCAGATTAAGGAAAATATCAGACACGCCATGTACTTTTTCCAGATACCCTTAATAAGAGGTCGCCCTCTCCTGGTACATTCTACACTACTGTCCACCTCTCACCCACATCCACATGTCTGTATGAAATAAGCAATATATATTTAGATATATATTTATATCTATATATATATATATATGTGTGTGTGTGTGTGTGTGTATATAATAACAATATATTCCATTTATTTTAAAGGAAAAATGTGTTTTTTCCTGATTATGTTGAAAAGATTGTGCATTATATCTAAATGAACACATTAAATACACACATAAAATTCTTTAGTAGTAGTTTTTTTTTTCATGCAGCTCATCAAGGTTGGTGTTTCCCCCCCCAAACCTAAATTGTTAAAACCTTTTCAGAGCAACAATTCTGAAACACCACAGTGATGGTGCTCAAGTTTTTGTCACATGGCTTCTTGTTTTCATACAGTTTTACAAAGAAAAGTTAACTACAACAATCTAAAATCAGAAGTATTCAAACATTATCCAAATATAGACTTTGTACACTTATTTCCTACCGATCTCTGTCTCAGATACAGCTCACTCAATGCAATTGCGTGAATCAAAACCCTCCACCGCTCCAGTGGTTTTGCATCATTACACAACAGAAGCAGAAGCCACGGGCTTTCTCTGCCAGCATGTTGTGCTAGAAGTGATCTGTCTGCTTTCCACTAGCCAGCTTGGCGTTTCTGTTTACACTAAAGCCCTGGAAAGGTTCTCAAGCTAAGTCACAGAGCAACACATGACTCAACGAGAAAAAGGCATCGCAGCAGTGCCAGGAGGGCTACTCTAATCTAATGCTGTAAGCCGTGCTTTTTGAGACACTGAGCTGACTTTCTCCTACTCAGACTGTAGCCCTGTGAAACTCCATCAGTAAGAATCCACGGGTTTGTGAAAACAGCTCTTACACTGATTGAGTATTTGGCCCATGCCTGAACTTGTTGACTCTCACAGAAGGCTTTGCTTATTGATTCTGCTCCTCTCGGATGAAAAGGGTTTTGGCCTGATTGTGCAGTAATCCTGTTTTCTTTAACTAGGTTTTTGTGTGTGTGCGTGTGCTGTGCGTGTGCGTGTGTGTGTGTGTGTGTACTGCACGTATACTTCACCTGAGTGAACAAATTAATTTTATGACATGTGCACAATGAATATGGATGATGAGGAGTGGATAAGATGAACTGGAGGTGAATGGGGTGGAGGAGGTTCGCAGCGATTGAGCACTGAAATGACAGCTGACAGCAGCAGAGAGGAGAACAGATTTAAAGTTTGACAGCAACTACATAATTGGCTGATGGAGATCGTAGCAAAATCTGGCTGGTTTAACAAAAGGGTGAATGCACATAGTCAGTAGATTAAAGGAGCGGGCAGAGAGAGTGAGTGAATATGACAGAGAAAGATAGATGAGAATGAATGAAGCATAAAGATGAACTTACGCTGAGCTTGGGGGTGTGTTATTGGGTCACATCACTTCAGTGTCCCTTCCCAATTGTATATCAAGCCATTAGAAAGTCGGACAATTTGCGAGGAGGCAGGTTCGGAGATGCAAAGACATAAGTCACAGTTATCAAGAGGCAAAAGACACTGATGGTGTATGTCTTCTATCCATAATGTCATTACAGTATAAACAGTAAAACTACATCTACATCTAATACTATAGGTGTTATGGTGTTTCTCAAAATTAAGACCAAAAAGCTTGCTGAAGAAGAAGATATACTTTATTTAATCCCCTAAGGGGAAACCCAGTGTTTTCTCTCTGTTATTATGTTAGTATACACACAGGCAGAGATGCTCACAAGTCTTTGAGCTAGAGTCCAAGTCAAGTCTCAATTCTCTCTTGGTTATTAAATACTGTAAGTCAATAAAACTGTGACGTTGCATAATCAGCAATAAATCTGTCTGTTTTTAACTTACAGAGCACAACCATGTAGCCTAATGTACAATGTGTCTACAATTAATGACAGCTTATAAACTACTGTAAGTCAACAAACCCTGTTGAGTTTCAAACCCAGTGTAAAGTTAACTAAATAATACTGTAAAGTTACATGGTCAACAATGAAGCTGTAACCTGTTTTTAACTTACAGAGCACAACCTGTGCAATGCGGTTAATGACAGCTTATAAACTACTGTAAGTCAACACATCCTCCTGACTCTCAAATCAATAAATTGTAACCTGTTTTTCACAGAGCACAACTATAATGTGCAATGCAATCAATGACAGCTTAAACTACTGTAAGTCAACACACCCTGCAGACTCTCAAACCAGTGTAACGTTATAATTAAATAAAACTGTAAGGTTAGGCTACATGATCAACAATAAACCTGTAACCTCTTTCCAGCCAACGGCAATAATTAACGTGATGGCAGCCAGCGGGACGTAATGAATACGTTAATCGACCACCACAAGTTTGGCAAGTAAACAAACGCTCATTCGTCTTTTCATAACGAACAACAGTCAGAGTTAACCTCCCGTAGCTCATAGCTGAAGCAAGAAAAAAGCTAACGTTAGATGGCCAATGCTGAGCTAAACATGTTCACTCACCACATATTTGCGTTCAGCGCTTCTTTGTTTGGGTCTTGTTGTATGAAGTTTTAAAGCCAAAGTTTGTGATAAATGGCAGACTCTAACTCAAGCCCCCATCTCTGGGCACAGGTCTGAAATACACACACAAACACGACCCATAGCAACACACGGAGAGATGTCAGAGTGAGGGGGCTGCCAGTCAGTGCGGCGCCCCGAGCAGTTGGGGTTCAGGAGCTTGCTCAAGGCCTCCTGTGAACCTCTCCAGCTACCAGTCCACACTCTGCAACTCTGGTCCGAGCTGGATTTAGGCAGCAGCCTAATCCTTACGGACTGAGCTACTGCCGCCCCCAAAGGTGTTGTGATGTTCAGTTTTGCAGAAAATTGCAGAGATAGGTGTTTGTGCTCTTTAACCTACCCCCATTGATATAAATGGGGTGCACATCCATCCATCCATCCATCCTTCGTCAACCGCTTATCCTGCGTACAGGGTCGCGGGGGGCTGGAGCCAATCCCAGCTGACATCGGGCGAAAGGCGGGGTACACCCTGGACAGGTATGGGGTGGGCAAAATAATCAAAATACCTGTCAGTATAACGCAGTACAGCTCAACAGCATATAGATATGGTATAGATAAAAGAGGAATATTTATTGCAGGGTTGAAGTGATGGAAAATTGAGCTGGGGAAGAGCGAGGCAGACTGGAAGACTAGATGCTGCAGAACCAGGTTGGTGGCTGCAGTGCAGAGCAGGAGGGAACCCGTAGCTGAGAGTCCAGAGGGTGAGAAGCTGAGT